AAAAGTCTATTTTTTAAATGTTAGTGAAAAATATATTTTGATAGCTAGTAAATAATCATTTGTAACAAATACAGTTTACTTAATAAAAAAGATATTTTGCATAAGTTTGGTAAACTATCACTCAGGGTGATAGGAAAGTATTTGTCTTATTTGACAAAGTGATATTTCTGTTAACATTATATTTTAACCTTCTCATACAACTAAAAATAGAGAAAATAACATAACGAACCACTGTGCATCCCTGTACAGCTACAATAATTACCAGCAGAGGGCCAACCTCATGTCATGGATACATACACCACATCCTCGGAGTAAAACAGATTTCAGATGTCACATCATTGTAACCACACCAGACACACTATACTTGAGCTTACATGGTACATGTGTATGTGTATGCACCTCTCAAAATCAAAATTGGATACTTAAAGCTAATATTAAGATTTTGACACAATCAAATATGCATGGATTGTTTAAATTAAAAAGTTTCAAACATCTTTGAATCACATTTCAAATATATTCACACAATATGGTGTGCTGAGATATTTGTTGTCTTGTTGTTACCTCAGTTTCCTCTATTTTTCATTTTCCTTTCCATTTATGTAAGATAGTCTTTGGTCTCTATATTGTACCCCACCCTCTGGATATTGCAAAATGTATTCCCATGTGTGATCAGATATGGTTCTTTATCTTGTGAATTCTCTATAAATTTCTAGTGACTTTCTTCTATACAATTTAAAATACTTGTTAAACATAACCATAACTCATGTTTTACACTTCTTATTGCATGACATCCAGTGGCTGAAATGGCCTGAAATTTTTTTTTCATATCTTGGTTTTACTGTAGTGGGAGATGGGTTTTTTTCTCTGTATATGTATTAGCAGATGATATACTATCAGAGGAATCATTTGTTATAAATTTCATAGTAAACTTTCTCTTAAGGTTTTCTTTAGTTTTTGACAACTATTGCCCAAATTGGATATTTCAGTAACCACAGTGTGAAACAATGAAGAAATATAAACTCTAAAAAAACTAAAAGTAATCCCCCAAATTTAATAATATGTTATTTGAAAAAATTCACAGGACGATTTTTATCAGAAAAATGATTTTTATCAGAAAGTTGAATAGTGTAGAAGAAAATACCTTTGGTTATAAGGACAATTCAGTAGGAACCCATCAAACTAAATTACAGTGATAAAACTAACAGTACACAAATAATTTTTAAAAATAAAGAGAATTTCAATATCTTTTGGAACAATATCATGTGGCATAGCATATGTATAATTGGAATTGCAAGAAAAGAGTGATAGTGTCAAAAACATTTTTAAAATTGCCAATTATTTTTCAA